TGTAAAATTTTGTGTAATTAAATTTTAATTCAAATGTATCAAGTTGGTGTATCATGCTTAATGAGATGACCAATAGTTAGATATAGCTATTGTAATGCAGATTATATTTTTAATAAAGTACTAGCAGAACTATCAAAGTAAAAAAAAATAGATTGTATTAAAAGCTAATTTATTTTGATAGAATTCAATGTTATATATAATCTTGGCAGCTGTCAATACTAGTAACAATTAGAATTACTCTAATTTTATTAAAATTTTTTATAAGATTGTTTATAAAAATTATAGTGTTGTATAATTTCAAAAAAATTGATTTATTTTTATCATTCATATAAATATCCAATAAATTTATCTATTTACTTTAAAAAAAAAACAAATTTTAATACTTTTCAGCCATAATCAAAACAATCAGAGAGGTCCAGCCTGTGAATGGATGACTATTTTTAAATAATATAAAAATTAAATCAATAAAATAACTTTTTTTTTAAAAAAAAAAACCATCATACCTTCTAGCACCTTCACCATTAATAGCAGAATACTGTTCCCATGCATATCCTGTTCTTTTAAATTCCTATTATCACAATCAGAATACATTGATAATATATAAGGTTGTGGAAATCAATATCTTGTAACCACTCGCTGATGAGAGTGATCTGCTTTGAAAGTTAAAACTTACTTTATAAACATTTTTAATTATATTATCTCTCAATTCTTGATATATTTTATCTGCCTTATGTTGATAAGGTCCTGGTTTTGCTATATAGTTCTATTATTCAAAATAAATATAATTAAACGAGAAAATTTACCATAAATAATGGAAATTGATTTAGTGAATTAAACGAAGATGGGTCACCTTATACAAAGAAGACAAAGCCAAATAATTAATATTCATCCAAACAGGGCCTCTCCAATATTTTTCTCCTGTATAATAATATTCACTAGATTTTGAAAGTGATCTCAATCCGTAACTAACAGAATCCAAATATATCGTCAAGAATAATAATAGCTAGGTTAAGTAGAAGATATTTAATTCTAATGATCTATTAGTAAGAAAAGGATACGGTGACCATAACTCATCAGGATTATACATTAGATCCAAAATAGCATCAAGTTTTGGCGAATCATTGGGCAATAGACCAAGTAACATTGGAAACAGTGATATATAGCCTTTGTGGCAGACATAAATTGATTTCTCTGTGAAGGTAATAAAATTATAAAGGGATGGTTATTATAAATAAGATTTGAATGTATTTTATAATAACATACCTCCATCAAATGAAACATCGCAAAAAGTCTTATCAACTTCATTCCAATGCAGATCTATATTAAAAACCAATTTCCTCAAAATTAGAATCATGCCTTATTAAACGATTATTAGTAAAATTAGATCTAACATTTTCAATTACCATGTAAATTATTAACAATATTTTTATACTGCGCATCAAATTCCTCAAAATCATGCCATTCGTTTAACCTTTTAGCAATATCCCTAAGTGATCTTACCATGAATCCTACCCAACACATTAAATCAACATGTAATTCTGCAGGATGTGGTGGGGTCGGTCTTGGATAATCATCAAGCCCTTTATCAATGACATAAAAATATATTAATCTTCTAAGACAAAGTTTTGTTGGACTTCTAAATTTGAAAAGGCTATGGCTAACTCAAACTGACTTCGAAATTATCCATATACAATATTTACCAGAAGTCAATGTATGTCCCGGAGTTCTGCCTCTCCATCTATAAGCCTCTTCGCTGTTACTAGCACTTCTACCCCATTTTTTAATTTCTCCCTGTTGCGTTCTCCTAAACCATTTATAATTTAGTTTTAGCTTTTGGTATATTTCTTTTAAATAACTTTCTGCCAAATTTATGTCATTAAGGTAACGTGTTGATGCGGAATTTGTGAAGTTAACAATATGACTTGATAAGTCTAAATCTGGAGAAATGCCGACTAAAAAAAAATGGAATTAAAGGCGACAGAGAAATATAATTGATCGTGGAAAAAAGACAAATAAGAATAAGAATTAATAAGTATTAAGAAAAAAATGTTATATTGCCGACCGAAACTCATTGGATATGGTGCCGAAAATTTTATCAAACACAATAATGCCAAAACTGAAGGTTAAAAGTCCTGTAAATTTAAATTCATGCTTTCGGTCGACAGCATTAATCTTTTGCCGAGAAATAATAACATTAGTACCATTAATGCTATGCTGAAGTTTATTTTCATAGTCTAACCGATCAAGAAAAGCTTCAAGCGGCATTAATAACGTTGGTGGATTGGCATAATGTGGATATTGTGTTTGAAATTCATGTGGAACCTATAAAAGTATTACATATAAATAACTCAAAGTAACAAGATTAATAATAATATTTAATTATGTTATATATCATACTTTGCTTCTGGCCTCTTCTCCTAAAATTTGTTCACGTGCTACCCATCCATCATCGTCAATTAATGATACCCAATGTTTGATAATATCCAAACTATAAAGTGAGAAAGATAAACCGTTTTTAATACATTTACGGTCAACTCGGGGATATAATGAATCTTTTTATAACGAACCCACTCTATAATGAACTTTTTTTAAGAAAAAAAAATTACAATATGGAAACATAATAAATTGCTCTAAAGAACTTTTGAAAAATTTTATTATAAAACGGGGAGCTCATTATAGAGAGAGTTAACAGCGCATATACGTCGAATCCTCTATCTGATTTTAGAAAGTATTCTTTCCCAAATGCAAATTAGATACAGATAATATAATAATAATAAACAATTTTATTAAAAATTGTTTTTTTAAAGAAAATTTTACTAAATGTTTCTTGAACTTTTAACAAAAGTTTGTAGAGCACATTTTCTGTGGTGATTCTTGATTTACATGGTGATAGAATTTCTATCACTGAATTTCCGGATAAGGTATCTTAATTAGAACCGGAAAAAATTATCTCTACAACTTTGTTAAATTCCGAGAGCATTTGTAAAATTTTAAGAATCAATTCTTAAGATAAATGTTTTTATTTTATTTTATCATCTAATTTGCATTCGGGGCAAGATTACTATCCCAAAGTCAAATCGACAAATTGCCAAAACCAAATTGACAAAACCAAATTGACAATTTGACACCTGGACTAGCCCAGTTGACAATTGGGGCACAACATATACACGAACCTGAAAGACCTTACCTAAGATCATTATCCCAATTTCCAATCAGAAGTTGATGAAATCCTTCGTCCCTACAATAATTATATAATTTAGAATAGAGTACTATATCACGAATATGATTCTGGCTGATCAAAATTTATCGGCTAGATTAAATAGATAAATTTTTTCGGGTTTGCCGGTTTCTAATCGGACCTGGTTTAGTGCTCAGGATCTATTCTTATCCTAATATCGAATACCAAATTTATCACATTCGATTTTAAGATCTCAATCAACCATCAGTACGTATAATCGTTTCTAAAATTTCTTTTCACTCGTATGTAATGTTCTTTAAATATTGACAGAGATTCCCATACTTATATTAATACCCATTTTAAATACTCTCTAATGATTGCCGGTAAAATTGAGAAACAACTAAATGATTTCCAAATTAAGAATAATTTTCAGAATAAGATTCGAGACCAAGACAATAGCCATGTAAAAAAGAATACCGTAAATTGAAATAATCAGCCTATTCTCAAAAAAAAATATTCTCAAAAAAAAATATTCTCAAAAAAAAATATTCTCAAAAAAAAATATTCTCAAAAAAAATATTCTCAAAAAAAAAAAAAAGAATCGACCAACTAAACCGAAAATGGGGTATTTCATATACTAATTAATAAACATATGCGAGATATTTATAGTAAAAATCAATAGTACAGATTTTATGCATAGACCGGCAAAATCGACAAATTACTAGTAAAACATTAGTATTTTAAAAATTGATTCACCTCACGTACTAGTAATTTTTTGAGGCAATTTTCGCGGCAAATTGCCACAAAAAAATTACTATTACGCGAGGTGAATCAATTTTTAAAATACTAATGTTTTACTAGTAATTTATCGATTTTGCCGATCTATGCATTATTGATTTTTACTATAATATCTCGCATATGTTTGATTAATTAGTATATGAAATACTCCACGAAAATTAATTTTTGCCTAATTTTACTTATCGACCAGAATCACAATTCAATAGGCGATGCTTCATAATAAAACAATACATAGTATTTATTTACTGTATTTACTGTATATACATATCGGCGGATTTGTGAAATTTTGATAAATAGAAAAACCCATGAACCGTAACTCTGGTCAAATTTGCTGATCATTTGACCAGCTTTGAAGTCAAATAATTTCAAACGATCTGCAAATTTAACCAGAGTTACAGCTCATGAGTTTTTCTATTTATCAAATTCCACAAATCCGCCGATATGATTAAGTGCATAACACATACCAGTAAAATCCGCGAGGGAAAAATGGGCGCGATGGTGTTGCTGTAAATAAAGATGATGGTGACGTTAATTGAGGATTAGCCTGCCGACTTATATCCCAGAAATTTTCTTCGTCTTCGTCAACATTCATATAAGACCTATCAACTATGCTTGTTCCATAAAAATAACTATAATAAACAAAATGTAGAAATAAACTTGTTAGATATGACAATTTATAAAATGCCTACAATGCATGAAATGCAATCTCAAGAAATAAATAAGTCAGATAAATAGTAACCCGATTCCGCCAATCAAATTACTTAATATTTCGTGAGCAAAACTAATTTGGTTTTCATCAAACCCTTTTGAAGCCAGGCCAAAAGTATTTTCGAATCTCGTGTCAAAATTTTTTGATTTTGATTCAAGGATTGAAGTAAAATCTGAAATTAATAAAAGGATTATTTAAAAAAACTTTATTATGTAAGTCTTAAGATAAATTCCTTGCTGAAGCTGAAATTTAAAAGTTCTTTTTTTTTTTTTTTAGAATTAGATTTGTTAATAAAAGAATACAGTAGACTTTGATAGGTTTATAGGCTTAGCTTATCAAATTCAGTCAATTTCAGCTTCAACCTCCAAAATTAACAACCTCATGTTATTGAATGAATAAGCTTGCAATGTTATGCATTGCCATTATAACTGAGTTTCAAATATATTTGCACAATAAATAGATTTGACACTAGAATTATTCATGGAGATGTCTACAAGTTTCGACTTCGTAGATAAGATAGACTACTAGGCTAATCCTGAAACACTATTTACAAATGGTAATAAAAATACAAACCTTCTAAATGTGCAGGAGATGACGTTGATTTAAAAAGTATGTCAAACTATAAATGATAAAAATAAACAAATTATAACTAGAAAACAAATATTAGCCGTATAATGTCTGCAAAAAAAATAAAATATTTACCTGGAACGGTGCTTCAACCATCAATTGAAATATATACAAATTAGAATTTTCTTGAACTTTATTGGGTATGGAAAGTAGATGTGGCGGAGAAGGATCCACTTCATCCGCAAAACTTTTACGTTTCCTTTCGGAAAAAAGATTACTTAGATAGTCTAATGAAATGATAAACCTTGGATCAATTGGTCATTTTAAATAAGATGGCATATAATCAAGCATTGATGAAAAAAATATGCAGTTATTGCATATTTACCTTTAGCACGCCAAATATCACCCTTTGGGACTAAATGTCCCCAAAACTGAGCTTTATGTAAATCAATTGATTCATTTTTCAGGGCCGCAATTTTGGGAATTTGATTACCAGAACCTAGCAAATATATTAAAATGGATCTAAATGTTCGATTTGTGTTAAGGTTTCCGACCGAACCTAGTCTAGGCATGATATTGGCTCATTCGGCCCTACAAGCCGAATCATCCTTAAACTAGTTTGACATGCCTCTTAGGCAGATTTAAACGTCATAGAAATTCATATGATTGTCTATTACAATTCTTTGAACTTTTATACCAATACAGCCTAGGTAATTTTTTTTTAAATATATATATATGTGTGTTAAAGAAAAGGTAATATATTGACAAATTTCATTAGAGTTACCATTGCTAAAATTAACTTTTAATATTCTTTAAAAAAATTAGTATAGCAATATTCTTTACCTATTTATGAGAAGTTACTACTAGGATAACTATCTAAATAAAAAAGAAAAAAGATTAATTTTAGCAAATGGTGCTCTATAGCAAATCATTCTATATTACTTTTTTCCTTCAATGTATAATTTTATTTTTAAGTACATAAAAAACTGTATAATTAATAGAATTGTGATAGCCAATCATATGAAGAATTTAACCGTTAAATCCGCTAACTTGTGATTAAAATTCCTACAAAATAATATTATAGTCTAAGTAAGTGAATTCGAATTGATTAATGTAAAAGCTTTAGCAATTTAATAAATAATTTTGATATCTTGTTTTAGCAAGAACCCTTACCGGTTATTAATACAATAAAAATTTTATTGACGGGTTGATTCAATTTAATCATTTGAGTGCCGCCAAGGGAAAGCCTGTCATCGGACTTTCAATTATATTGTGTACAGTTAGCCGTCTATGGAAAATCTATCATAATAATAGATTCTTCATAGATGGCTAACTGTAAACAAAATATAATCGAAAGCCCGATGACAGGTTTTCCCTTGGCAGCACTCATTTATCAACCCGTTTAAGCATGTCAACTTTCGGCTGAATAAGTTATTCATACTCAAATTACAATTAAAAATTATCTTACTATCAATAATTTCTATAGTAAAGTTCCCTAGATCTGGAGTTTCTCCACTAAGAACAACTGGATAATTCAAACCCTAAGAAAAAAAAGTACATTACAGGATTAACAACTCGTCAAAAATTATATCATTTCGAGTAATGTTATAGGCTAAATCGAAA